GAAGGGAGTGGAAGGGAGTGGAAAGAGACGACTTTGGGATCGATTCTGAAAGCCATCCCAACCTGAAAATCCATGTATGTTCATGAGCCACGAATTTCTGCACTTGGCAAAAAATTTAATACTCTCGTTAAGGGAAAAATCCATCTTTTTTCCTGGGGCTCTGTCCTATGACGTCAGTCAGGGCTTGGGGAAAATCGATTCACGGGCCTGGACGTAGAATTTCGGTTAATTTTCTGGGGATTATGAGGGAGATGATTAAGGGCGGCTCAACTCGGGGAGCAATTCTGGTTATTGATCCGAGACTGAGAAATATCCGGTTAAATGACTTTTGCTAAATTTAACCGCCGATTTTGTTATTTTATTTTAGGAAATTTCGAAGAAAATTGGGAAACAATTGGGGAAAATTCACTGGTTTGAGGGAATTGAAGAATTAGGTGGATGGATTTTTTATTGGTAAAGGAATAAATCGGGAAAATATTTCTGTCCATCACGTGTGGATGGACAAGAATTTTCCCGTGATTTCTAATATTTCCAATTTTAACATATGGAATTCTCTTTCTCGCTTTTTCGATATCGAAATCTTTCTCATTGTCTAAATATTTTGCTGGGAAGAAAGCAGGAGACGACCCAGTTCATCATTTCCAATAAAAACCACTGAATAAAACACGAAATCCACTAAAAGCTCTTGAATTCATCATTTATAAATAAACATCTTTCGCTCTCAGAAAAAAAAATCAGGATTTACCTGACAGTAGAGCTGAAGTTTTCTCAAGTATCATCTTCTACAGAAGTAATAGATAATTGAAAAAAAAGGGAGAACAAAGGATTGTTGATAAATCCGAATTATCATTTGCAAATGTGAAAATAAAAAATAAATCCAACTATAATTAATATCTTGGAATGTCTTTCAGCGGTCTCATTGTATTGACTCAAACGCGAAATCTCAGAGCCATTAATTATCTCTAATTATTCACCCAAACATTTCCAGAACACATGTCGACGGTAATTAATACAATCCACAGAGACATAACGCTGTAATGAGCATGAGGGAGGGGATCTGCGTGCAGTGGAAATTAACATTTTTACATCATCTGGAATTATTTACCTTCTGCGCATGTTCTGCACTGACAACTTCTTTTTAAATTTTCATCCACCGGAAATTATCGAATCTCGAAATTATTCGAGCTAACGTAATTCGATTCTCCAATCAGCAATGGACAATTGGTAATTTCATCGTCTGTTAAATTCGAGATGACAAATTTTCTTGATTTTACGGGAGGAATTGGGTCAGAGGAAATATGAGAAATTCTTTGATGAAAATTATTCCATTGGGTCTTCTGGAGATGTGAATGAAATATTTGTCAAGATGAAAGAAGGACTGTCAAATTGACAAGGGAAAATTGACGAGACGAATCGAGAAAAAAAATCGGACATTTCGTTGCACATTTTTGTAAGACCGCGAATAACTAAGGGTAAATTAATTTTTTAATTAAACAAATGGATTACGTGTTGATTACCTGCGCGCAAATATACCTTAAAAATTTGGGAACAATTGATGCAGTAATTTTCTGCCAAAAAATTCGGTAAAATCTCTTTTTTGGTCAGCTGCTCTTCAATTTCTGTCAAT